ACGCTGAGGCTGCTGTCAAATCCCTGTAGCACCTCATCCTCAAAGTGGTCCCTTCTGGGAATATTGACTGCGAGTCCTTCGACCAGGGTCTCCTTGAGCTCCGCAACACACCCAATTACACCGGACGCTTCCCTGCCCAGGTCTTGTATGGACGCCCCCTCCATTCTTGTGTCCCTGCTCACCCTCAGTCCTTCTCCAAGGAGTGGCAGGCCAAGACAGAGGATTGTGATCGCCGAGCCGCCGAACGTATTCAAGACGTCGTCGCCCGCCACAACGACCACGCCCGTCCTCTCCCCAGGTTGAGTGTCGGCACCCAAGTCCGTGTCCAGGACCCGACCTCCCTACGTTGGGACAAAGTGGGCGTAGTCATGGGTCTCGGCAGGTCACGGGACTACCAGGTGCGGTTACCCAGCGGTCGGGTGTGGTGGAGGAACCGCCGTTTCCTCCGCCCCGTAACGCATCCCATCCCGCTGACCCCGTCACCAGTGCTGAGTCCCATATCCCCCCCAGTGATTAAGCCCCTCGACGCTCAGAACGGATCCACAGGAAAAGGTCCGCTCAAGACTTTGCTATGAGCGTATAGGGGGGGGGGGAGGTGTATGTATATTATGTATGTTGTATGTATACCATGTATGTACTCTATATATACACATTATTTCTCTAGTCAGTAGCGTGTGGCAATGCCCTGTTTCATGTCACCACACGCTTAGATAAATGTGCCTGGCAACATCTGGAAGCTGCTAGTATACCACTTACCACATGTCGCCCGAGAGGTCAGAGTGAGGTCAGTTGACCCTATAGGAGTGTAAGGACTACCTGCGCTTGTAAGCGCACTCCTGTATATTTCCGTTAATAAAAACCTACAAAACTCTACAGGTGTTTATGTTCGCTCCTGTAGTTAGAACCAAGTACCCCGAATATCTCCACCTGCCATAAAGGAACGGCTAACTGACAACACCGCACTGGTCGCCTCCAGTTTGCCCAGCAATATGGGGGGGAGGATCCGGAGTTTTGGTCACGAGTAGTCTTCACGGATGAGAAGAGTTTTGCCAATACTAACCACAGTAAAATTCATTTGTGGCGGCCAAATTGCACGAGGTAAGTAAGGTTAACATATTAACAAGTCCATAATGATTAAAATAATATTTAGACCGTATTTGTCGATATAGCCGTAAAACTTCGTATAGCTCCTTATACATTTTCAAATATAAGTCTTTAAGATTATCGCTTAACATTAAAATATATTTTCAAGTATTATACTACAATCTTAATATAAGATGTAATAGCTTAATGAAGCCAATATATTTATATTTCTATCGCATTTTCCCTTCCTGCAGATACGACAGGGCCCACATATACGAGGTGGCTAGAAGTGGGAATGTGACGCTGAACGTGTGGTGCTACATATCCCTGCACAGTATGGGAGATGTTTTCCAAATTAAGGGGAGGTTTATGGCAAATAAATAACTAGACATCGTGCGGAATCAGTTCCTCCCTTCAATTCAGGAACGCAATTTCCCATTCCCTGCTGGGCCAATTACATTTATTCATGATATACTGTATACCCTATCCACACAGCCAGAGCAGTGCGTCAGTAGTTTGACGGGCAGCAACACCTCAGGCTCTTGGAATTGCCGAGCAAGGGATGCGACATGAATCCCATTGAAAATATCTGGGCAAGTATTGTCAATTCCTGGGAGCCCGAGTTCGAGAGGACGCCGAACCAGCTGTTCGACCACGTGACAAGACAGTGGGAGATTTTTAGAAACAAACATAAGCTTTTTACAAACAACGTATCTTCTATGCAGCGGAGGCTGCAAGCTGTAATTAATAAGGAGGGTGGTTGGACCCGTTATTAAACAATATACTGTAAATAATGCACTTGTCTATATTTTAATCCTCGAAAGAAAGAAATATATTATAAACCTCAAATTTAAATTATGCAATTACATAAAGCCAGTTGCAATATGATTAAAAAATTAATAAAAAAGTGAGGACCAAACCCCTCCAAGAAAAAGAGAGCTATTCAACCTCTTTCTGAGTTCTCGTAACTCGATAATTATAAGTATACTCTATCTTTGACTGACTGACTCTCTCTCTCTCTCTCTCTCTAAGTTATTAATAATAATACCATCAAATACAGTTAATAGAACACCAAAATGACCACTTCTGTGCGGCCCTGGAATACCACATGCCATTATTGTGTCAGTTGAGTCTACTACAGTGTCTGCTCTTTAACTTACGTCAATTTATATTATGTAATGCTCACATTACACTCAAGACTAAACTTGGAACATATTGTATATTCTTGAAATTTGATGTGAGAATCTCTTGGCAGCCCTTGCCATGATCCTAAAGTACGATGAATAGCTTATTATTGCAAAAATGCTACTTTTGGATTGCTTAATATTTATCCTGACAGCGATGCAGCCGAAAATAAATCCACCAATCACAATCACCTTTACATACAGCCTTCCTTTACCAAGTAATGCCAGGTAAAATTACGAGCATGAGAACAGGGTGGGGTCGGTGCATCTTGGTCTGACTGTACCTTCACCTGTCACCATACTGTACAACTCGACTACAACGTATCCTCTTCGTTATCTCATAAGCGGGGCCTACTGGGTTGAGATAATATGACACAACGGGCGAAGGATTTTGACAAACCGACCTGGCAACAGGTGTCGGAGTGTTCATACCTTTTTTGAGCGACTGTATATTATACACATGTGCACATTAAACCATAATTTCACACACACATACTGTATATACATGCTGGAGTTGAGGGAAACTGAGAACACTAAATGCAATCGTTTAATCTATTGTCACATTTGCTTACTGGTTTGAAAATGTGGCAGTTTAAGTTCTGGTATGAGCCGCATTTACATGGGCTGTATGTCAGGTGGTTTACCGTACATTCCTTACCTCTGGATGGCTGCCGTTACTTACCGTACTTCAGATGGGTTGCTGTTGTTGCGTTTGTGCTTAAGCCTTTCCACAGTTGTACGTAAGAAACACACATATAGATACAAGTGTCACAAGACCGTCTGTATCAACTGTCGTAAACGGAATAACTAGCAGCCCAGGCTACAGGGTATCGGTCTCTAGCTGAGTTACCAACTAATGTTATTCTTGTACAGTATATATAACTCAGGTCAGATCGAATACTCGGAGATTAATGTTGACATTCCTTGGGGCATTTTTTATTAGATCAATTCAATTTCAATTTCAATTGTTTATTCCTTGATACCAGAAAAAAATTGCAGAAGGCAATGGATGTGTGTAAAGGCAGAATTAGAATGCACTCGCAGGTATAAATGTAGTGGTGACTGAACGGTTTTAGTTGACAAAAGTGGGAAGACGAGAAACATTTTGTTTGATACACATGTATGCCTATAGTTTCGGTCATGAATTCGTTACCACCTTATGAACGTAACTTGATTTCTAAGAAATTAATTATCTGTTGTTTCGACTATTTTAACAAATTATGCTCTTAATCAATCCATTCAGATATACTTGGCAATGAGAATCAAAATCATATATCATCATAAAATAATACATATAATTTGAAGTTATTAGTATTTTTTCTAATCCTTTGTGTCAATTAGCCTATCTTCTGATTTCAAAACAATTATATGCTTGTAAAGCACGTTTAGAATATCTTAGGCAGTGTGCGGCGGCCATCTTGGAACGACAGCCATATTGGATGTTTTTCAAATGGCACTATACTGTATACCTTCTGCATAATTTATGCTGGTTGCCAAAGAGTAGAATTTACACAATATTATGCACCATTTTCTCGGACTAAAGTAACGGTGGCCCATCTGAAGCATGGGGTAAGTAACGGCAGCCAATCTGAAGTATGGGTAAGTAATGGCAGCCTACCTGAACTACTGTTAATAACGGCAGCCCATCTGAAGTACGGGTAATTAACGACAGCCCATCTGAAGTACGATTAAGTAATGGCAGCCGGAGCTACTATGGTATGCGGTCTATCGAGCTGGAATTCTGTCTACCGGGATATTTACACTGTAGCATCCATTAACCTAACCTACCCTAGGTTAGGTTAGGCTAAGATATATTAGATTAAGTTAGGTTATGTTAGGTTGGGTTAATAGACGCTACAATGAAAATATCCCGGTAGACCAGCTCGGTAGACCGCATACTATAGTTGCACAAGGCAGCCAATCTAAAGTATGGGTGAGTAACGGCTGCCCTTCTGAAATGAAGGTATTGGCAGCCCAACTGAAATGCGAGTAACAGTAGCCCTTCTGAAGTAAGGAGAAAATGAAAAGAAAAATAGGGTGAGCTGTTAATAAAATACAAGGTTTGAGTAAAACGATCTAATGAACCCTCCCACTTAGTACGATGTCCTCCGTAAACTTCCTGACCTCTCGTATGTCCATGGGAAAGGGTCGCGAAAAAGGAGACGTGATTGCTGCCCGTATCATCATTGGGTATGACTTTGCTTGGGAGATTGGTATCCCCGCATCCCCTGAGCAACGGTCTTGTGCATTATGCAGAAGACCCGACAGCCGCACCCTTGTCCACTACCCCCTAAGATGTCCCCACACACAACGCTTCCTTGACGCCTGCTGGACCACCACTCAACGACCCTCTGACGGAGACACGATGATCCTCCCCATACTGGCCAGATATTATGTAAATAACATTGATTATGTGTTAAAGGGATATCCTTCCTTCCTTAGGCTTTAGTAAGCCCCTTTATAATATTTATACTGTATATACTTGTCACACTTGCCAGATGCTTCTGGTGTCATTGTACAGGGGTACCTAGTGACAGCACTAGGATCCCGCTTCCTCTATCAAGGAATAAACAATTGAAATTGAAATTGAATTGATCTAATAAAAAATGCCCCAAGGAATGTCAACATTAATCTCCGAGTATTCGATCTGACCTGAGTTATATATACTGTACAAGAATAACATTAGTTGGTAACTCAGCTAGAGACCGATACCCTGTAGCCTGGGCTGCTAGTTATTCCGTTTACGACAGTTGATACAGACGGTTTTGTGACACTTGTATCTATATGTGTGTTTCTTACGTACAACTGTGGAAAGGCTTAAGCACAAACGCAACAACAGCAACCCATCTGAAGTACGGTAAGTAGCGGCAGCCATCCAGAGGTAATGATGTACGGTAAACCACCTGACATACAGCCCATGTAAATGCGGCTCATACGAGAACTTAAACTGCCACATTTTCAAACCAGTAAGCAAATGTGACAATAGATTAAACGATTGCATTTAGTGTTCTCAGTTTCCCTCAACTCCAGCATGTATATACAGTATGTGTGTGTGAAATTATGGTTTAATGTGCACATGTGTATATTATACAGTCGCTCAAAAAAGGTATGAACACTCCGACACCTGTTGCCAGGTCAGTTTGTCAAAATCCTTCGCCCGTTGTGTCATATTATCTCAACCCAGTAGGCCCCGCTTAGTAGATAACGAAGAGGATACGTTGTAGTCGAGTTGTACAGTATGGTGACAGGTGAAGGTACAGTCAGCCAAAGATGCACCGACCTCACCCTGATCTCATGCTCGTAATTTTACCTGACAATACTTCGTAAAGGAAGGCTGTATGTAAAGGTGATTGTGATTGGTGGATTTATTTTCGGCCGTATCGCTGTCAGTATAAATATTAAGCAATCCAAAAGTACCATTTTTACAATAATAAGTTTCCAAATATTCGTAAATTTGCTACAATAATAAAGAATTATATCAATAAATTGGCAACGCAACTACAACCAGGGCTGCCACTAGATTCTCACATCAAATTTCAAGAATATACAATATGTTCCACGTTTAATCTTGAGTGTAATGTAAGCATTACATAATATAATTTGACGTAAGTTAGAGAGCAGACACTGTAGTAGACTAAACTGACACAAGTGGTATTCCAGGGCAGCACTGAAGTGGTCATTTTAGTGTTCTATTAAATGTATTTGATGGTATAATTATTAATAACTCAGAGAGAGAGAGAGAGAGAGAGAGAGAGAGAGAGAGAGAGAGAGAGAGAGAGAGAGTCACTCAGTCAAAGACAGAGTATACTTATAATTATAGAGTTGACGAGAACTCAGAAAGAGGTTGAATAGCTCTAAAAAAAAAATTGTGGGGGGGAGGCTTTGGACCTCATTTTTTATTTATTTTTTAATCATATTGTAACAGGCTTTATGTCATTGCATAATTCAAAAATAAGGTTTATAATACATTTCTTTCTTTCGAGGATTAAAATATAGACAATTGCATTATTTACAGTATATTGTTTAATAACGGGTCCAACCACCCTCCTTATTAATTACAGCTTGCAGCCTCCGCTGCATAGAAGATACGTTGTTTGTAAAAAGCTTATGTTTGTTTCTAAAAATCTCCCACTCTCTTGTCACGTGGTCGAACAGCTGGTTCGGCGTCCTCTCGAACTCGGGCTCCCAGGAATTGACGATACTTGCACAGATATTTTCAATGGGATTCATGTCGCATCCCTTGCTCGGCAATTCCAAGAGCCTGAAGTGTTGCTGCCCGTCAAACTACTGACGCACTGCTCTGACTGTGTGGATAGGACATCTATCTTGAATAAAAGTAATTGGCCCAGCAGGGAATGGGAAATTGCGTTCCTGAATTGAAGCTAGGAACTCATTCCGCACGATGTCTAGGTATATATTTGCCGTAAACCTCCACTGAATTTGGAAAACATCTCCCATACTTACCTGCAAAACAGACACCAAATGAGCTGTTCTTATCCCCTGTCACAGCAGATGAATTACTGGCCATCATAAAAATGTCCAATGTTGCAGCAGCAGGCGAAGACAATGTACCAATGAGCATCATTAAGAAAGTAGTCCACTTATTACTACCTGTTCTCCTACACATTTGTAACTCCTCCTTCACTAGTGGTGTCTTTCCTGATAAACTGAAAATTGCTAAAGTTCATCAGGCATATAAAAAATCTGGGGACAAAGGTCTCTTCAAGAATTACCGCCCCATATCAGTCCTCCCAGCCTTGAGTAAGATCCTGGAAAAACTAGCATGTATAAGACTAAATTCCTTCTGCAATGCCAATAACATCTTTACAGACTCCCAGTTTGGATTTAGAGCTAGAAGGTCGACTGAGAGTGCTCTGCTATCCTTTACTAATGACATCTTAAATTCCTTTGATGACAGTCAGTTCACATTCGGTATATTCTTGGACCTCTCTAAAGCCTTCGATACTGTTGACAATACCATCCTCCTTTCAAAGCTAGACCATTACGGCGTTAGGGGCCTGTCCCACAATTGGTTTACCTCATATCTGTCCAACAGGATGCAGTATGTCTGCTATAATAACCACCAATCTGACTCCTCCCCAATCTTGCATGGAGTCCCCCATGGTTCCATTCTCTGTCCAGTACTATTTTTGTTGTACAAAAACGACATAGTCCACGCCAGCTCACTCATAAAATACAACTTATTTGCGGACGATAGTAATCTCTATGCCAGCAACCTCCATTCTTTGATGAGAACTATGAACACTCAATTGACTTAAGTCGGGACCTGGGTAATACGTATTAAACTGACCTTAAACCTTGAGAAAACCCACTACACGATCTTTCACAGAAGGAAAACTTACCCCCAGACCTGGACCCCTGTACCTTGGTAATCTAATCCTCAAACGCGAACAAAATTGTAAATTCCTCGGAGTTATTGCTGATGAGAAACTTAACTGGAGAAACCACTTACAAGCCATTCACAGTAAAATAAGAAAACAGTGCGGTATCATGTGTCACACTCGACAGTCGCTCACTCTCACAGCAATGAAAGAAATCTATCATGATCTTGTTTACCAACACCTGATACACTGTCACACACTATGGTGGGGCCTCTGGCTCTACAAAAACACAATCTCTGGTTACTGTACAAAAGGGAGTTGTACGGACAATGACCTACTTGAAAAAAAACAGATCACACAAACGAAAAATTTGCTATGTTGGTATTTTTAAAATTCGAAGATATTAACACTTACTGCTGTGCCCTCTTTGTTTACAAATCTATCAAGCACTTGCTTGACAATAACTATTTCCAGTTCCGGAATAATCAGAGATACAACTTAAGGCACCCAGAGCTACTAAGACTACCCTCCATGCACTCCTCTCAGTCCCAGACCTCCATAAAATATCATGGTGTGAAGGTGTGGAACGCCTTACCCCCACCCATCCGAGCAAAGACTACTCTCCCTTCCATTAAATCATCTCCTAAAAAATATATATTGTCGAAGTATTAATGTTTCTTGTAACACCTACTATATTTACAGTACCTGCTTTTATTGTACCATCAAAACCATTTTATCGGAAGTTATCATGGAAATAAACATAATTGCCAACTAGACATAATCCTGACACCTCTGTCCTCTTGTTCAACCTTATTACTGTACAACCCATGTTGTACTGCTCCCCCATTATACTTATGTTTTTCAATTTCACTGTAATTTATATGTATATGTGTATGTGTATGTATATGTATGTGTATATAAATATATGTATGTGTATATAAATATATGTATATATATATATATATATATATATATATATATATATATATATATATATATATATATATATATATATATATATATATATATATATATATATATATATATATATATATATATACAATCGATGCTGTGTGTTCTCATCAGAGCTGGTGAAGAACTTTTTTGTGTAGTTGTTGAGAAGAGGATCCTATGTCCTTGGGATGGACATTCCCGGTGTAGAAAATTGGCTAGTTCCCCCCCCCCTCCCCCACCCCCCACACTATTGGAAAAGCTTCCGCTTCCGATACAAGTACTGAAAGTATATGTCACCCAATAAGTCTCCTCTTGACGAAGTGAGAGTATACCGCTGAACCCGGTTACCAGGGAGAAGGTATCTCGATTTTGGAAATACCAGTACCTCAAGGAAGATAGTACGTAATAGATAATGTAGTCAAAAAACTCCACGTCTCCAGAAAAGAGTAGAACACGGATAATGCGTTACGGCATCGCTCGGTGGACGATGTGGCCTACTGGGACCTGACAACCACCATCTGTGGACAGGAAGAAACTCCACTCAACAGGCCTTCAAGGATGTGAGAATCTACGCTTATTGGAAAGAACGGTCTATAGTGACCAGCATAATGGAAATATGTGTTGTGGTCAGTTCTATGTGACCACACATGAACCACAGTGAGTGTTGAGAGGAAGTACTGCACAGTATGTCTGAAGGCAGTAGTAATACAGAAAGCGTGAAATCCTATGTTGGGATTACTATTAGTGTATAGACAATATGTGTGCGAGTTACGGACTCTGTGAACCCACGAATTAAGAGGAACATTTTCAGGGTGCACTTAGTAAATGCACATTTATACAATATCCTGTTACCATCTCTAAGACGTATGGAGGCTCCAGAAACTCTTTGTATGTATGTATGTATGTATGTATGTATGCATGTATGTATGTATGTATGTATGTATGTATGCATGTATGCATGTATGTATGTATGTATGTAATCCCAACGGTATACACCTCCTCAGCAAGTGAGCTGCACACAACCTCACTCTTACAAATACCATGTTTAGGCAGGCCGACAAGTTCAAGGGGACTCGTGGCAACACCCACGATCCAAACACTGGCATCTCATTGACTACATCATTGTCAGAGAAAGAGATCGCCAAGATATCCTCATCACTCAAGCAATGTGTGGCTCAGATCACTGCGACACTGATCATCGGCTCATCAGAGCTAAGCTCTCACTTCACGTCACCCCCAAAACGGCGAAGGCAGCAAGCTTCCAGATGTTGTTTTAATACTAAGCGTCTGGAGGATCCAGCGATAGCACATGCTTTAATAGAGAAGCTCGAACATGGGCTCATAAACAACCCGACAACAAAAAACCCAAATCCCACTGATGAATGGGTTATTCTCCACACTGTTATGAGAAAAACCTGCAGAGAGACCCTCGGCCTGATCGAAAGAATAGACCAGGGTTGGTTTGATGAAAATGGCCCGTATATCAATGATAAACGTGCTGCTTTACCTGACTGGCAGAACAACCCTCAGTCTCGGACCAATGCTGATACCTGTGGCAAGAAGAAAGCGGCTGCCCATCTCGAACTTTTGCAAACTAAAGAACGACTGATTCAAAAATAAAGCATGTGAAACCCCCCAAAAACCGTGTAAATCAGCACAAGATATGTGAATTTTTCAATTCCACTCAAAAATTTTATGGGCCAGTCACTGGTGGTACAGCCCCCGTCTGCTCATCCGATGGTAACTCCCTAATTAAAGATGAGGAAGGCATCTCAGCGCTGGAAAGGGCACTAACATTTGGTGCTCAACCGAAACACCTTTGGGGGACGCCAAATAAGATTGGCGAGGAGTCACATTAGTGATTATTATAACAGACATACTGCATCTTATTGGACAGATATGAGGTAAACCAATTGTGGGACAGGCCCCTAACGCCGTAATGTTTAAGCTTTGTAAGGAAGATTGTATGGTCGACAGTATCAAAGGCTTTAGGGAGGCCCAATGCCTACTGTGAACTGACTGTCATCAAAGGAATTTAAGATATCATTAGTAAAGGATAGCAGAGCACTCTCAGTCGACCTACGAGCTCTAAATCCAAACTGGGAGTCTGTAAAGATGTTATTGGCTTTGCAGAAGGAATTTAGTCTACTACATGCTAGCTTCTCCAGTATCTTACTAAAAGCTGGGAGGACTGATATGGGCCGGTAATTCTTGAAGAGTCCTTTGTCCCCAGATTTTTTATATGCTATGTAAACTTTAGCAATTTTCAGTTTATCCGGAAAGACACCACTAGTAAAAGAGGAGTTACAAATGTGTAGGAGAACAGGTAGCAATAAGTGGGCTACTTTCTTAATGATGCTCATTGGTATATTGTCTTCGCCTGCTGCTGCATCTTTGGACATTTTTATGATGGTCAGTAATTCATCTGCTGCTACAGGGGATAAGAACAGCTCATTTTGCTGTCTGTTTTGCAGGTAGGCTCGAAATTCTTCATGGTGATCAGGGATGCTGTCTGCAAATTTTTTGCCAATATTAATAAAATATTCATTGAAGTGGTTGGCAATGAGGGAAGGTTCCGTTACAACTGAATCATTTATCATAAAAGCTGAGTGGGGGGCCGAAGGGTGAGTGTTCCTGTTCTGAATAGAATTTATGACATTCCAGCTTTTCTTACCGTCACCTCATGCTGCCTGGAGCTTATTTGTATAATAGCTACGTCTGGCATTTCTAACTTCTTGAGTTACTCTATTTCTGATACTTCGGTAAGCATCACCGAAAGTTATGGGTCTTTTTGCAAATTTCCTTTGGAGTTTGTGTTTTTCCTTTATCATTATCTTAATCTCGCTTGTGATATAGGGTTTGGAAATGGATACAGTTTTCACTGACTTAGTCTTGAGCGGGAAGCATTTATCAAAGCAAGCATTGAAGATGCAAGAGAAGTTGCAGCTGTTCACGTTAGGGTTGTCGGAGGCATAGACAAGATCCCAGTTAGCATTCATTAGGTTGCTTTAAAAAAGGAGCATGTTGTCGGTGCAGTAGTCTCTGTATTGTATTGAGACTCTACTAGACCTTTCAGGTCTTGTGGCTGTTTTATACATGTCAAAAACTGGGAAGTGATCTGAGATATTGTTATAAATAATTCCACTTGCAAGATTGTTATATATAAAAGAAGACTTGAAATTTTGATATATAAGAAGGAGTTTTTCGGTTAAGAATAAATAAAGAGATTACTTAAAGATCGCATCGAGAATTTATTTATGTAGTATCAACATTTTTAGGCAGAATTACATTGAGAAATCCCTGCCCATAAAAAAAATATATAGAATGTTCCCATACTCACCACATGAACGGAAAAAAGTCAACCAATTTGCAAACAGGCATGTAGTACATTTATTTCCGGTGCTAAAAAAATGAAAAGGAAACAAACTTGATGCAATGTCTGGTTTTTCTTTCTCACCTTTGGCCGGTGTTAAATCAAACTCCTTCTTTCTTTCATTCATAGTTGGGCAAATAAGCACCACACCACACGGGCACTGTTGATAATGACTGGGCCACGGGAAGATCAGGTCAAATTCAGTATGTATGCTTAACCTGGTGTCGCACTGGTCACTTCACTTCCTTGCTACTGCCTCGGGAGTTGCACTTGACATTATTAGAGGGACCTGCCAGGCTTTGCCATAAACAGATGAAATATATCTGGAATTCTCCCTCTACACCCTCATTCTCCTCTCACTGTATGTACAATCAAAGACAAAAGTCGTGTCGCCGTTTTGTCCGAAGATTAAATATAACTCGTGAAACATTATGAGAGCCCCTTGCCACAAGGCAGAGTGCACTAAAACTTTAGCCCTTCGGCATATGTTTTCACCAAATTTCACGACACGACTTTTGCCTTTCAATGTAACTTGCTGACCCAATCCTTGGCGCCTCAAGCACTTCTTTTATTAATCAAAGTAGTCAAAGAAAGCAAGCATGAAGTTCGTAAGCTTCCCTGTTGGGCACTGTGAACGCGTTTTCACTTCCCCTATCATAGAATGCAAGGGGGTGGGTGCCCAATAAAATAGCCCCATGCGGTGCAAATCTGTAAAAAAAATCGGGAATTAGCTGGTCCAGAATGGAGTGAGACCACTTCATGACCAGTGGCTAAACTGCTGAACGAAATAGTTCATTAACCCCTTTACTACGGGTGCGCCACGTTTAATATTTTATTTGGCTAACGTCAGACGACTTTATTTAGCTCAGACAGAACCCGTACACAGGGGGATAGTAGACTCTCTCCATTAACCGGCCAATGAATCTTCTCTTCTTTCCTAGTTATATCATAACTATGACATTCTCCAATATTCTTGTCCTAGTTATTATATGACACGGAAGAAATTTTTTTTTGCATTTTTTGCAAATTGATCTGTTGCTTGTCTTTTTGTAAAATGGCCAACATTCTAGATTTTTTTACAAAGTAGCTGATACTTTAGAAATATTCTGTAACGCTTAATACATAATATATACTTTACCTTGATTGAGATTGGTATCCCCGCATCCCCTGAGCAAAGTTCTTGTGCATTGTGCACAAGACCCGACAGCCGCACCCTTATCCACTACCTCCTAAGATGTCCCCACACACAACGCTTCCGTGACGCCTTCTGGACCACCACTCCACGACCCCCTGACGGAGACACGATGATCCTCCCCATACTGGCCAGATATTATGTAAATAACATTGATTTTGTGTTAAGATAATATCCTTCCTTCCTTAGGCTTTAGTAAGCCTTTTTATAATATTTATTTATACTGTATATATTTGTGACACGTGCCAGATGCTTCTGGTGTTATTGTACAGGGGTACCTAGTGACAGCACTAGGATCCCGCTTCCTCTATCAATTGAAATTGAAATTGAATTTATCTTGATTAATTCAGTTTTAAATTAAAATAAGTTCAGGATACCCTTACATCTTGCGGTGGCAGATAGTAATAGGCTTGAAACATCAGGTTACCGTCATTAGGCATCATTATCAAGAAACGTGTACTAAAATCTGACTGTCAACAACACACATTGCCCAAATCAACCTATTAACACGTCATGATAACAGTACAAGGCTTACAACATTTAACTACTTCCTGTTTCAGCCTTACGACTGTGGGCTAACAGACATCAACGAGCAACTCAAAGATTGGAACATCAGATTGATCAACACAGTGGACCAACTTAAGGTTGGTCTCTACAACAAGTAGAGACTCTCTGCTGTTAGAGAGGGAGAGAGAGCTGTGCTAAGATGGGCTTCACTGAAGTGACAGACAAGGAGCAGCTCTTGGGGTTAGCTGAAAGAATTAAGCAAGATTTCCCACAATCATGTTTGGTGAGTATTCATGTTGGATGATGATAAACGTGTATATATATATATATATTACAGATTTTGGGCGAAATCGGTTTCTTTGGCAAAATTACCGGCATGCATATTGGCAATTTTGCAAAATAACTTACAAACAGACAACCTGAACTAACCTAACCTTATGGTTAGGTTAGGATGGCTCATGTAGATTGATACACAGCTAAGTGGTCCTGTTCTATTGTTTTTTTTTACTTTGGTTAATAAGTTTGTACAATTTCCGGCATGCATATTGGTAATTTCACCCCCCTCCCCAAAAAAAAAGAAGATGGATGAAAAAATTAGGTATATGTTGTAAAGAAATACAGATTGAAAGAACTGCAAATATACATCTATAGCATGAGTGTTTTGAATCTCTGACCACCACTTGAACAGATGTACAACAACCTGCTGTTCCGTGCTCGAGGGTTCTGCTCCACGGGAAGATTCTACATCATTGAAGATTCCCCAGACTCTTACGTCATCCTAAAGCAGAGCAACGTGAGTTAAATCCTTATTTATAATACTAAAATTAATATATTTCCTAGGTATAAATGCTCGTAACTTTGTATGCTACATGTCTTGATACACTTATTTACAGTCGAAAATTGTTGACGTCGGTGTCATTTATGTTTAGTCAGTTCATAATGTCAGTCAAACAATTTTACATATCTCACAGGTTAGATGAAAATCGTACAGGGGGAGTGGGGTATATTTCGTTATGTATCAGTGGTGAGTTGTGTGAGGGAGGAGAGGGAGTGTTTCGTTACGGGGAGTAAGGTCATTAAATATAAGGTATAGTTAGGCAAACATGAAATTAGATATATCAGATTATATTTAAATATTACTTTAGTTTTCAATCTGAGTGTTAAATATTTATATAGGGCTTACAGGCTGCGGCGAGGCCACCTTATAATAAAAATTGTTTTCTATGGGCCGATACAAGAAACTATTTTCTTGTTGAATCATCGTCACGTAAATGTCCAACTGCATTGCCTCACGAACAGTGCGCCACCGATAACTGGCAATTACTGTCAGAACAAATGAAAGCCTTGGGCATTAAATACAACTATAGAAAGTTTTGAGAATGAACAAGCACAAAATCAAAATAGTGTGAAAACATTAGATAAGATAGGAGGGCTTGTAATGTAAGTAGGAAAATTCAAACATTACAGTGGGACATTCTGGGATTAAGGGAAGTATGATGGAAAGGTTCATATAGTTTTAGTGGTTAAAAAATATTTCATGTATCCAGGTGGTGAAAAACATGAGAGGTGTTGTATTCTTGGAAACCAGATGTGAGCTGTCGTGTAAAGGGATATTGGGCAATGTCAGATGGAGTTTTATTAGTCAGTTTTAATGCTAAAGCCACGGACTTGGTAACAATGCAGAATTCTGCACCAACAATTGAAAGTGAGGATAAAGTTCTAGAAAAGTTTTATGAAGATTTAATGAAATCCAAAGACACAATAAAGTTTAATGAATGTCTGACCAGTGATTTTAACGGAATGGTTGAGAAGTGGAAAAGAAACACCAGGACTAAGACAACATAGAATGGACAATAGCCATGAAAGAGAAAATATATTAATTGATTTGTGTTAGGAAGGCAAGATGACCACGTCCCAGTAATGAGTTAATGGGGCTAAAACCTAAAAATAATTAAAAAGAAAAACATTGGACAAAAACAAATGGAATATAGGAAGTTCAAAACAATGACTGGAATATAAAATTAAATTGAACCCTCCCTAAAATTTCACTATTGTGAGTAGAAGGCTCTCATGAAAAAGAAATAGCAAAACTGGAATAGTTTCAAATAAATAATATTGTATTAGAGAGTGTAGAAAAACTTCTCGAATATAGGGGGACCAAGTTAAAAGTGATTGAACCACAAATTAAATTTGAGAGGGAATGTATATATAACGGAAGTTGAAAAGCCGAAACCTTGCTTACAAAGAGCTTAAAAAAAAAATTAAAAAGCTCTATAGACAGGCGAAAGAAGATTTTATAGCTAGGAAATGCAAGGAGATAGAAGATGATGACAGGGACATATAAGTAGGAAAATATACAGTAAAATTAGCAAATACGGTAAGATCCTGTTTGAGGCAGAAAAAGTACGAGAGATGGGCAGAGTATGTAGAAGAACTATACAATGATGATGATGATGATACACTGGAGGTAGGAAATGACAAGAGTATAAAGATCAGACTATTGTGGACACCAGAAGTTGGGCAGCTGTGAGCAAAATGAAAAATAATAAGGCTTGTGGGGTCGTCAGCTTCTAATGACATTCATAAAACAAATGGGCTAGAATACCATCAAATATTTGGCTAAAATAAGTAACTTCCTAATTATTTCCAAATATAGATATTTGTGTTATTACCTAAGAGCCAGGAACGGCAGAATGCACCCAGTTAGAAAAAAATAAGCTTAATAAGCCATACCGGCGAAATTTTATTAAACAATATTTTAAGTAGAATAAAATTTTAAATAGACTTAGTTATCTGAAGAACAAAATGAATTTAGAAAAGGAAAATGAACTTGTGAAGCTATATTTGAATTGAAATTTTTGAGTGAAGAGCTTTAGCGGTCCTAAGATATTTATTTATCTGCTTTTATATTTTGAAAAAGTCTTTGATAGGGTAAAACATAATAAACTTACATATGTTGTTATATGTTCAGGGGTAATTACTCTGCTTGTTCGGTAGGTATGGCTATATTATATATAACTTTGTTCCTTTATGTAATAACTGGTTAATATGTTATATATATTGATTTATAATATGTATGTATTAAGTAAATTAGTCCATGTCGTGTATTAATTAAGTAAAATATGTATTAGTTAGGTAAAATTGCTTGATATAATTGGCGACATGGTATCTGCACTGTGTGGGTCACTGGTCTACCAGCTCAGCTAGTAAGTGGGGAGACTCACAGTGATGCCGTTTCATGGAATATCATCTGCTAGTGTGGAAAACAATCACACATACCTTGCCGATGTGGACCTGCTGGACCTAGTTCCCCTTACTGTGGAACATATTCCATACATATGCATATATGTAAAATATGATAATAACCCTTAATAATTTTGATACCAAAATATAATGAGAAGGTGTATTTATATATTAGCCTAATTATGGTAAGGATATAGCTATTGTCATTTGTCATTTGTCATTTCATAAAACAGTTGAAAGAGTCTTAGAGCAGTGGACATGAGAGACCCATCGGCTTTTCTTTATTTCAACTTCTTAAACTTTATTTGGCCAACATTTATAAAAAAAATAACCAACTATTCCAGATGGACCCCTACAGTTCATTTACTCTATAAGAATTTATTAGAGTATTTTTCCCGTCCGTAGTTGGTGCAAAAGGCAGACATTACGAACTTTGACCTATGTAATGAAAACAACCACCTACCAATTACTCTGATTTTCTTGGGCTCAGCTGTGAATGGGTTGCTTCAGACTGAGTATCAAAATCATGGCGTGATGTGCGACGAAGATGTCGCACCTTTATGGTCACTATGTGTATGCAGCTGAAGAAAAGATTTGATTTTAATGATAAACTATGGTATATGTGCTCATTTTTATTCCCCAAAAAGTTTTAGACTTCAGATCCAGGACTGCGATGCCTTCTTTACATGATTTAGTGAATGCTGTGCCTCGTTTTCATGACGGGGATATACAGGCATTGGAATATAAGTGGAGAAACCTTGATTCTACTCCTTTACCACCAGAACTGAGAGACGTTAAATGTGGGAATGTAGAATTTTATGTAAAGTTACGACAAACGACCAATAACGAGGGATCACATCAATAAACTTTTTTTCCCACATTTGCATTGCAGGTTATGTCATTACAACACATCCAATGCAGATGCAGAAAGGTTATTCTCCAAAATTACTTTAATGAAAAAAGACACAAGGAATCGCTTACAGATACCACCCATCAATGCCTTAACTTCAGTTTCTGAAACTAAAATCCCAAGGTTACTGTGTGAAGTTTACCTCATCTCGAGCAATTATAAATAGTTTACAAATGTAATATACAAATGAAGAAGATAGTGTGTTTTGGAGGTGTTTGGTTTTCGGGGATTATTGATGGTGATGCATTTGTCGTTTATAAAGTAAATATCAGACATAACAACCTCTGTTCTGTTACCAACAAACTTGAATATTTAATGGCTGTATCATCTAGTGAAGCATATTCAACTATGACATTCACCAATTGAACAAAACCGGGCAAAAACATCACCAAAACTCCAGATGAGCAAAACGGACTGTATAAAAGACAAGGAACTATTAATAATTATCCACTACTGAATGTAAAACAAGCAACACGAAGAAATCGACGAAGACCTAGATAAGCTACACAACGCCATAAAGTAAGCGTTCAACCAAACGACCCCATTAATGATATACAGAACCCCTCCAAGTAATAAACCCACTGAAGCATTAGAGGCTACATGTACAATACAATAATACAAGGACAGATATAGAACAAGCAGGACCCACTAGAGAACTACTCCAAAACGTAAGGGAAATTTACCATGACCTCCAAGAGGAATATATAAAAATTAACAACGAAAAATGGAACAGTCTACTGTAATATCAAACATAGATACGACAACGGACACAAAAACATTCAGGCAAAACATTAACAGATTACTTGGCACCAAAAAACAAACAGTAAACGACATAAAAGACCAAAATGAAGAAAAATTTTATACAGACCAGGAAAAAGAAGAGGCCGTTCGTAGAGAATGGAAAAATATATTCCGAATATCAGAAGAAGAAAATTAGAACTTTGACAAAGAACATGAAGAAGCAATTAAAGAGAGCAAAACAATAGACTGGCGCCCTACCATACAGGAAATCCAGATAGACTAAAACCCAATAGATTCATAGGGCACGACGAACTACTACTCAGCTTATGCACATATAAAGAAAAATCACCCTGGAATGAGTGGCATAACTCGAAATATACTATTGAACC